TGTAATTTGATCCCATAACTGGAGCAGAAATCTCGAAAAGAGGAGCAGTTGAATTGAGTTCCATTATCAGCCACAATCTGGTTTGGGATCCCATATCTGCAGATGATCGAGCTGAAAACGAAATCTTCGACCTTTTTAGAGGTAAGACTAGATAAAGGCCGAGCTTCAACCCACTTTGTGAAATAATCCACACCAACAACCAGATGGGTAACACCTCCAACCCCTTTCACGAATGGACCCAAAAGATCTAGTCCCCACTGTGCAAATGGCCATGGTGCTACCAAGCTTGCGAGTTCTTCTGCAGGTTGATGAGTCAGATGTGCAAAGAATTGGCACTTCAGACATTTCTGAACAAAGTAAGTGGCATCTTTGTACATGTTCGGCCAGTAGTATCCTTGTCTTAAGACTTTGTGAGCCAGAGTTCTAGCACCGACATGGCTCCCACAGACACCCTCATGCACCTCTCGAAGCGCGTATTCAACTTCATAGGGACTTAAACACCGTAGGAGAGGAAGTGAGAAAGATCTCTTATACAGGACTCCATCAACAAGTGTATACCGAGATGCTTTCTTCCTCAATTTCATTGCCTCTTGCCTGTCCTCAGGCACTATCCCGTCTCGTAAGAAGGAGACAATTGAATCAGTCCAGCTTGGCGTGTCAGGATTTGTGCTAATCTCCATCACTCGAGGCTTTGTGAAGCTTGATTCATCTAAAACTTCTACAAAAACAGATATGGAGCTTAAAGAGCTATCAAAGGCAAACTTGGAGAGTGAATCTGCCTGTTCGTTCTCAGCCCGGGGGATTTTACTCAGATAGAATTTCTGAAATTTGCACTTCAGCTCGGCCACCAAGGCTACATACTTTACCATCACAGGATCAACGACTTCGCAAATAGAGTTGATTTGGTTTACCACCAGTTGGGAGTCACTGTACACTTGAATTGCGCTGATCTTCAACTCTAATGCTAGTTGTAGGCTGAGTAGCAGAGCTTCATACTCAGCCATATTATTTGTCGCATCAAAGTTGAACTTCAAAGCATGTTCGCTTCGATAACCGTCTGGACCAATCAAGAGAGCTCCAGCCCCT